CACGGTATAGTGAAGCAATCACATGGCCATTTTTTCCTAAATTATGTCCACAAAAATGTACTATATTTCACCAGCTGTGGCAAACGGCTTTCTCAAAAACACGAATATATTTGTTCCATAATTCACAGTTATCTCTCAATTTTTTCCAAGCCATGAAAATTTCTTCTATAAAACTAACGGAGTGAAATCTATTTGTAAAATTACTATGTTTCCACACTTTAGCAACCTGACTACTTTCATGCCTATTGTCAATAATCAGGTAACATTGGCTTTTTTAACTTGTTGAAATTCGAGTCAACTTACTATGCACTTCATCAGGACTTGTTGCATTTTTTATCTCACCATTAAATAAATAGTGCATATTTATGCGCGTATATATGTATATATATATAGCCGTAACATATTACGGCAATATTTTATTATTGTGTATGAAGAAGAATGTGTTGTGGCCTTTAGTAAGGCCGCGATTCAAGTCTCACTACATCCGCTCATAAAAGCATACCTGAACTAGATTTAGATAATCAAATAAGAAATGATGATATGAGGATATAGGATGTGTGAATGCAGCTGGACAGATGGAGAAATGTAGCAACGTTTCAGTAGAAAATTGGTCAAAGGATCAACTTCACTTGTTTTCTTGACGAGTTGTAGTGTGGTGCTAAGACTGGCAAGACTTACTGACGATGTTGATTGCAATGCCGGCGAAACGCCTGGAATGCATCAAGCCCATGGTCTGACTGGAAATAACCATGCATAGTATGGACTCCGGACAAAGCGAGTTCCTGTAGGTCTCCCTGGCAATACGACCAAGGGGCGAAAATAATTTTAAACAACTGCTTAAAGGATGAGTCTTTAACCTTTTCATCAACTGTAGTCATATTCTCAACAGAAGGTCTATCTAAAGTAATATTTTATACGTAAACTTTGACTGGCCAACACTTTCAATAGCAAAGCTTAGCTCTATGTGGATAAAAGATCGAAACAACTCGTGCCTTAAGCTATTTACCAGACGAATTTATCCCCAAAACGATTAAATGAATAGTTTCATTTTGAAAGATTCTTACTTTTTAAGGAATAAATGCATCATAATGGAAACGAAACCGTTTTGCCTCGATTTTCCAATAAAGGCTCTTTATAATACCTACCCAACAGCAAAACATCATATTTAAGGAAAGTCTACTATGTATGCCTAACTGGTAAGGATTTCACGCCCCTCCCTAACTCTACCAATTTCTAATGCTGTTGCGGCCTCAGCTACGAAAGGACAAGACTCGCCACCTGGGAAACGGTTACAGACAGTTATTAGAGGATTCGCGAACTTTGCTGTCCAAACTGTCCATCATGTGGAGAGCTAATGGGCTTTTGGGAGCATTTGCATTTCTAACCTTGCCCTTATTGAACAGACCTCGTAGCATTTATGCTTAAACTTTATTCTATCCTGATTATCTTGAATAGGTGTTTGTCTACCGAACATTTGTCTCTCTTATACTTCTGAGGTAGTCAGCAAAATACACTAAAATTATCTATTCGAGACACATGCATTAAGTGCTAACACATCTGAATACAAGCATAATTGAATCAGAAACTTTCTTATCTCTCATAATCTACCAGCAATGAGCGAAATTTACGAGAGTATTTATAACTAAGGTGTTATAAAGACGATAGTATTAAGAGGAGTATCATAATTGTTTAACTGGGCTCTGATCAAATTAAAAGGCCAACTATTCTTCATTATTGATGCGTGGCTAGTGGCTATGCTTGGTTATTTTCTCCGCTGGCACGATCAAATTACTGGCGAACTACTTGGAATATAACTATAAGATTGTCTGATGTTGAAACAATTTGGGCTGCAATTAAAGGTGGTGCAATTATATCTATTTAACTTAACTTCATCATAAACTAGCTTTTTGCAGAGGTGAGGCGATCTAGTTAATTATATTTTTAAATTACTTTGGAATAATTGCAGTTAGTAATAACTTTGCCTACTCCTTAAGCAATATCGGAGCAGACAGGTATATGGTGAGACCGGCAAAAAGGATATTCTAGGATCAAGAACCTATCGTTAATTAGATTAAAATGAATCACAACAATGTAGCGGGTCAGATATATTCTAAAATCAGGGGAGACGTTTCTAATGAGAAAACAACTAAAACTGTGGAGGCCTGGCAATCATTTGAAGAGAGACGGATAATCAGAACCATCATATTGATTTGGCATTATGACTAGCAGATCGGAGCCAAATTGACCAAAAACCCACTTGAGATAAAGCAACAGACCAGAGATAGATGTTCATAATTTGCTCACAATGCCTGATATCTGAAAGCTTGTGAATCAGAGATTAGGCACTCTGCTCAGTAAGGCCACTCTATATGGGCTATCAAAGGCTTATAGCAGGCCATGAGAAATAGCGCCTGTAGTACAACCTATACTGGGATTGGAATTGTGGGATTAGTCAACCAAGATAGGAAACAAATCTCTAGGGCCATGGGGAAGATTTGGATGGGAGGTCCAAGTTGAATCAGCAATTCTTCAAGTCGAGATGGAGGGGAAGGGGAGCAAGGCAAGCAGCGTGTGTGATATCGCTACACTGATATCACAAAAAGGACACACCTGTATAGGACAATAAAAAAAATAATTTAAAGTTGTGATATTGATAGAGTGAGATACCAGGATAGGGAGTAGGAACATGAGGATTGATATCAGAACTATGGGCAAAAAGCTGGTCAAAAGATTGATTTCACTTGTGTCTTTGACACGTTAAAGCTTGGTATCAAGACTGGCAAATCTCACTGACGATGCCGACCATGTTGCCGGTGAAACTTCTTGGAATATATCAAGTCCACGGTCCGACGCTTGAAATTATTATCACTATAGCAGAGGTATTAGGATCTGTCCAACTAGGTCGCTTTGATAACATGACCAAGTTCAGAAACCAGTTCAATCCACTTCAATATATCAAAAGGAGACAGGAACCAAAATTGAGGTTATGACATCCTGTTCTACATATCTACTTCTCAAAATAAGTTCAACTTTTGCTAATACCTTTTCTCAAGAGCTTGTTTGAAATAAGTCAATTTGATTTTCATTGTGCACTTAATCGCCCCATCACTCCGTTACTTATAAGACCTAGGTTCTTTTTTGAACTTCAATTTTTTATAATCTAGCTAATGATCATAATTGTAAAAAAATGTATGATGTGGATACCTCTTACGAAATTGTCTATGTTAATATGTTTATCTTCATAAAATATTTATTAAAACATAGGCTACGTTTCCCTTCTAGAATAAAGTTATGCCAACCATGGAACATTTATAAATCGGCTACATCACAAATAAAGTATTTCTCTTCTTCCGATTTTTCTTTGTCGAGTAGCATTTCGTCTATACCTGCTTGTTGTTTGCGTTCATATTCAGATGCGAGAGGTGCTTGGAAGTATAGCTGAAACACGACAGTATCTTAGCGCCGGTAATCCTGGGACTGCAGGTGAACCTGCTGGTCCAATGCGGCATAGCCTGTCATTGCAAGGCGTAGGTGCCCGCCTCGAGGAGCTGGAAGATGTTGATCAAGCTAGTTCCTGCTCCATCTCTTATTCATGCCCCGGTGCTAATCCAGTTCTCCTCCCTGGCGGCACGGCTGCTTGTACGGTTCCTGGTACAAGACAACTGCAAACCCTTGGCGAGCCGATCATGTTCTTAGGCAAACGACCTGTCGCTAGTCTGGCCCCACGGTCCAGTGGCGATCGTCTACATCATTCCTCCCGACGCTATGAAGATCCTTCAGCAATTAGTCCATCTGTTCCTGTGTCAGGTGTAGGAGTTGGGCGAGTCATACCAGATGACCGGCTTAAAGGGATTCACCATTCGCGACTGGCTTCATTATCGGCCAGTGACGTTTCAGGCTTGGCCAATGTGGTTGGATCCGGTGAGCCGGTAGCGATTGTAACTGGAGCAGCAGGCGAAAATGGTGGGGCCAGTGTACCCTGTTTACCTTTCGGGCATTTAACCATTAGTACTTCTCCAGCTACTTCTGGACATCTCGTAGTGGGAAAATACACCACTGCCTCTCTATCCGGTCATTTGTCGAGCATCCATTTGGAGACGAGCACGTCTACTTCGCTCGTTAGTGGCGACTCAGGTCGCCGTCAGCCATCCTATAATACTCCTAGTGCAAATCACAATGCGACTACAGTTATTGCCGCTATCAACACTTCTAAGAGTCAAGGAGATTCTCATCAGACGGAGATAGTCAGAACGACGACGGATGCTATTGCAACTCAGATAAACCCTGCAAAAGCAGCGGCCACTCCCATGCCACAACATTCTGGACGGATGACTGCAAAAGCGAAACGCGGTCCTCTTGCGAGTACATATAACTTAGCTCTGGGAGCTAGGCTCTTATCGTCTCATTTATTCCTTTTTCTCCTTATCATGGGAGAAAATTCTGAGATAGGTTGGCTTTTCGTTTGCATGGCGACTACTCCTTCGCCTGGTATGAAGTCTGCATTTTAAAGGCCTTTTACACAAGTGTGACAGGACTATCACATATTCGGATGAATATACTTCATCTTAATACAAATGTATTACTTCACCTTAATTTTATTTTTTTCTTTTCCAGACCTGCCATCCTTTTAAGCCAGCAATTAACTCCTAGTCGCACATTATCTCAACAAATCACCTATATGTATTACTCGTTGCCTGTGGTCCAACGACAAAAGAAACGAGAACTTATTTCTTCTAACGAGATATTTATCTTAATCTTTGGCATGAACGAATGCCACTTATAATCTCATCAATTATTTGTTTGTTGCCTAGCTCATTTGTTTACTAAGATAAGCATAAGTCATGTTTGAAGATTACTTCATCCATCCTTAACTTTTTAAGAGTTATTAAATTTCTTTGCATTAATTTCTAAAAGAATTTTCGAAATTTATACCTGTTTATTTGATAACTAGATTTAGTATCTCTACGCAGATAAGGAAATTTGCAGGGTACTATCATCATTCGATCTTTTCTCCTTACGTTTTCAAAGTCATTGACTTTTAAATGACCCAATAGATCCCTATCCAGAAAATCGTCGTGTTTTTTATAATTCTACCACTTTCCTATCTTTACTATAGCATTACCAGCCGGCATCCAGTTTGGTTATGATCATTTCCAGGGCTGAAAACAATTTAGCGTCCAGAATCCGCTGATCTCTTATACTAACCCTTTTTTGATATTTTAAGTTTTCATAATCTGGGCGTTATTCCCCCTCACTTTTGCTAGTTTCTGAGTTGAGGTTGATTCTTTATTTTGTCAGGCTGGCTAGCAATTCTTAATATAATTTGCATTTACGCCACTAGTTATCATTCAAATGTATTCGGGTTTATTGGATCGCTTGATTTCTAGCGAAGATGGGATATTCCTGTTTGAGGAATATAAGCTGATAAAATACCAAAAGATTGCCTAGTTACGGAATAGATTATCTATTTATGTTGAACCATGAATCTAGAAATATGAAGACCAAGATGTTGTGACCCCTGGTATGGTCGCAGTCTCCTTTCGATTTACAGAAGTGGGTTGACCTCGTCGCAACTTGGCCTTGTTGTCAGGGCGACTTAGTAGAACGCACCTAGCTCGAAGTCGTCTGCCATAGTAGGGATTGACTTCATTTGTCTATTTGATGAGTTCGTAGCTTGGTGCGGAGAATGGCAAAACTCACTGATGATGCTGACTACGATGCTGGCGAAACGTTTGAGAA